CATTTTTTAACTCATAAAAAATTGATTTGCAGCTCACAACATTCGAAGATGTATGCTATACTCAAGGAGCAAGCAGGTATTAAATTCTTTCTCCATTGGATTAGGCAACACTTCAACTTCGTTTTCATCCATAATAAAAGAACTTTTTGTTTTCCTTTGCATTCAGAAGAGGTAAAATACTGAATGCCGTTTTCTCATTTTTAGCCATTTTGTGACAGCTACTGTATCCCTGAGAGAGTAGTAGAACAAGTTTTTAATATCAGTATTTGTACTACTCGAGCTCTCTTTCGTCTGGTATGTTCAACCGCGGTGGAAGCTCTGTTGCTGCAGGGAAAAACAAGGTCAAAGTTGCTTTATAAGTGAGAAGGTCGAAACTTGACATCCCTAATATGACTTTTGCACGGAGGAGTTGGGGCTTTTGTGTAATTTTCTATGCCTTACACGAAAGGAGTATCGACATTTTTGTAGCTTTTATGTCACGTAATGGTGGGTGGACCTGAATGGAAACACCCAATAGCGCCACATGAGGGGCAATGAAACCTCTGCTATTTCTGATGTTCAGCAGTAATATAGCTGAAGTTATGAGTCTTGCAACTTTAATATTTCTGTTTTCATATAACCTTTTATACGCCTACTTATTATATCAAGCGATAATTTAGAAGTAGCAAGGATCGAGTCAAACAATCTATGTAGGTGACATTAGTTTATGTCAGTACAACTGGAGATGAAAAAATGTAATTCGATCAATTTTTTGTAAAGCTGTTAGAAATCAGTCACTAGTTTTATCTTGTTTTTCTCAAATTACACTATCCAAAATAACCCATGTTCAGTACGCAATTGTCGATGATTTCTTATTTAACAGTACAAAACACCCATATCAGAGAAACCCTTCTGGTATGTTTGCTGTTCTGATTCAGAAAAGCACTAAGAGATCTATCCAGTATTGTTTTTATCATTCCCTTCTTCCAGTAATTTCTGTGTAAATGATGAATAGTTTTACTATAGTGCGGCTTAGAATAGTATGTAGTATGAATAATTCTTACTCGCCTTTAGCACTCTTCTTAAATAAATGTCATGTAAGTATATAGTGTATTTCACATGGTTTCTTAGGGTATGAGATGTTTGCAAATCATTTGTACCGTTTCAACATAAAACACGACTACGCCTTATAGTCTCTAATCAATTGAGCGATCCCACGAAGTATTTCTTATAGTTGTGGCTATCTGGCTGTTAAAATCATTACCCCTTGAGCTATTGTTAATCTTGAGATATTAAAAAAAATAGCGTTAGATTTTACTCATTTTTAGCTTGGATAGGTCTGATGATGACAAATAAAATCGATTTTTTCTATTAAGAACTTTTTTAGTTCATTAGCAGCGCAAGAAAATGGAACACAAAACGTGCTTTTTGATTTTACTAGGTCGCTCTTATTTTGGTTATAATAGCTCAAACTATGTAGTTATAACTATTGTAGTTATATCAAAATTAAAAAGGTCTAATCTGAACAACTCTTTGGTGTTTAAGAGAAAAATGCAAAATGCTGTTCACATGTCTCGTCACGTCTTTTGACAGTACAATCGATCTATTTCGGTCAAAATAATCCAAAACCTAGACTTATAATATATGAGTTAAAAACTCCATTCAAGGCGCAACTCATCCAATTAAACTCTTGTCAGAAAAAGAAAAAAAATTTCTGATTTTCCTAAGGGTTACTAAGGGCAAAGGAGAAATTTTGAAAAACCAGTCACTATAGACGTGGTAGTGCGGAAGCTATCATGTCTCTTACGGTCTCTACTGATGATATCGACTGAAATTAGCTAAAAAGTTTTAGATGAATTTGGAGCTTTTTTTACAAAAATTTGGGTCAAAACGACTTCGTCGTACCATATAAGTGATTGATGCCGTTTTGCCTGAAATGGATCACTTTAGCACGTAGAATGATGCTGTTTATTAAATTTTTTTATTTTATCAAGTCTAACAAAGTTATCAGTTTAAGAATGATTTCTTCTGTGATGCAGCTTGGCGTCTAATATTCATCTATTTCAACTTAAACTCAGTACTAATCCGCTTTTGTTGATCAATACGTTTGTTTACATATCTGTGTAGCATGAACGAAGATATATTGTGACATACAACTAACATAACATAACATAACAATTCATTCTTTCACCTTTGCATTCTTTCATTCTTTACATCGTGTGTTTGTATACCAGTTCTCAATCGTTTTTACAGAACAAAAGAATTTCTTTTCTCATAATTAGTTTATATACGCATGAATGAGATAACAATGAATGAAGCAATAAATATTGTTGATTTATTTAGGTCAGACAACCTACACATATACCACAGACTAATCACTACCCTATAGATACTATGGTTTTTAGTTACATTTTGTGTATGCTGCATCAAAAAAGTCAATAAACTATTGAAAACTTCTATTGTGATGTTATACAGACCCTTTTGTAATTCTCAATAAGTATGATATCAAGTATATCACATCGAAGAGTACCTAATAGTCTATAAAT